TTTTTTTTTTTTTTTCCCTTCCCAGGAAGGGGGGAAAAAAAAAAAAAGGCTTGGAAAGGTTCAGACTCTTCAGGGCTATAAAGAAATTTTGACCTTTTTTTTTTCCCCTTTTTTTTTGGCCACAAATTGAATCTCGGTAGGTACTTAATAGGGGGTGGGGGGACTATGGTGCCATATGAGATTTTTCAGCCATTTGTGCCAGTTGATATGGTGACCTATTTGTATTGCCATATTGTGTTGTGGCCTTGTAGGAGTAGGATTTGCATGAATAATGTGACGCCCGTCCGGGCAGGCATGCCGGCAGCCAGGCGACTCTCCTGGGGGTCTCATGCCCAGGGTCAACCAGGGAATGTTAAAATGTTAAATTCCAGGATTTTTATTTTTTTCCTTGTCTTTTTATTTTTCTTTTCATTGTCTGTGGAGTTTCCGTGCATGCTCAAAGCAGCCCCGAATCCGGCCCATTATGAGGGCTCTTTTATGTTTTGCAGTGTTGTCAGCTCGTGGGGGAAGGTGCCAAGAGGGGGGAGGGGGGGGGTGGGGTGGGGGAGGGGGGATGTGGGATGTGGGATGTGGGATGTGGGAGGGGGTGTAAATAGGGTTTAAAGTTTAAACTTCAAACTTTCAATTTCCAACTTTAAACGGGCGTGCGCCAGTTTGATTGTCTATCTGGTCTTTTATCTTCAACCTAAATATGGAATTCTGAGGTGCCCCTGGGTACAAAATTTGGTACACCTACTACACACCCTGAACTGTTGAAATACAGGCGAGAGTTTTTTTTTTTTTTTTTTTTTTTTTTTAAAACAGGCGAGAGTTTGAACTCCACTGGAAGCAGATGCAGACGAGTGAAAAAAAAAAAAGGCTTCGTTTGCTTCACAATCGTACACAAGTAGCACCACAACGTGATTTTTCAGAATTGTTTTTCGTTCTTTTGAGTTTTTTTTTTATTCTGTTTGTTTTGGAACTGGGTCTGCTGCCCGGACCTGGCCCGGGACCTTGCCTGGCAAGGCCATCTTGGCCCGCCAGAGTCAGCCTGGGCGCCGAACCTAGGCTTTTATGTCCCTGTGCCTAACGCTAAGCAACCACATGTGATCAGGAGGCATTCATGGCTCTATGACTGACACCACCGTCTTCACCGGAATATTCGAAAAACGCCCGGTCATCGTAGCTTATGTGGTGCATCTTTTAGTCTCGGCACAGTGATAATGACCGGGCGTTCTATTCGGGTGAAGACGGTAGCAAGCAAACTCCCCACGCTACTTTAGTCTGGGATTTTCTGAATTCGAGGACCCATGATGCCGCCATGTCTGACCCTAACAAACCCCCAAATCGCATGCCAGCTGCCACTGGCTCGGAATGTTGAAACAGTACATCTGATTTTGTTTGTCCTTTTCTTCTACGAGAACTCCTAAATTGTGGAACGGGTCTTGGAAGGTGCTCCCCCATCTGGGCCCAGCATGTCCCAATGGGTCCCGTTTCCGCGGAATCGTGGAGCGAGTCTTGGAAGGCGCTCCCAACTGGGCCAAGCCAAGCATGTCCCAGTGGTGTCCCGTTTCCGCTGAATTGTGGAGCGAGTCTTGGAAGACACCCCCAACTGGGCCAAGCCAAGCATGTCCCAGTGGTGTCCCGTTT